GAGAGGAAGGGAGAGGGAGAGAGAGAAGCATCAATGATGAGAGAGAATCATTGATTGGCTGCCTCCTACTGGGGAATCAAGCCCGCAACCTGGGCATGTGCCCGGACTGGCAATCGAACCGTGACCTCCTGGTTCAGAGGTCAGTGCTCAACCACTGAGCCATGCTGGCCGGGCTGTCCTATACTTCTCCTGGACAGGAAGGGGCGTGGCAGGGTCCCAGCCGTCTCAGAGGGTGGAAATGGGTGAGTGGCCTCAGCCTCCTCCCCCCTTTCCTGTCCTGCAGGTCAACAACAGTGAGCAGACCGTGGTCGCCTTCTTCATCATGCCCGCGCGGACCAACAACTTCAACGTGGAAACCCTCAAGGGCCAGGCGGTGCGCAAGCAGCTTTGGTCAGCAGCCCCGGCCCGGGACCCCAGCTGTGTGCTTCGGGCCCAGTGTTCCTCCCGGAGTCTCGCTTTTGTCCTGTGTCACATGGTCAAACCTGCCCCACCGACTTTCCTAGTGAAGTCGCTTGCTTAAGACGCCTCCGCCCGGGAGCAGTAAGAAGTTGCGGGCGGGACAAGTGTGGCAGCACGGCCAGAGCTCTGATACCAAACCACTGAGGTCTAACTCATGCCACTTGCTCGCTTTCTGGCTTTAGGCAAACCTCTACCCCTCTCTGAGCCTTCCTTTCCCCATTTGTGAAGCCCACTCGTTAGCAATCCCATGTTCAGTGAGCACCTGTTGTGTGCCAAGCACTGTTCCAGGCCCTGGGAACACAGCTGCGAACAAAAGAGATAAAAATCCCTGCCCTCATTGAGCTCTCTTTCTAGAAAATTCTAGAGAAAGCGCTCTTGGGGGAGGGGGTGAGAAGCAGCACAGGAATAATGAGACAGGGTTGTCAGGACAGGCCACGCTGTGAAAGTGCCATTGGGTAGAGACCAGTAGAGGAAATGAGGGAGGAAGCCCTGTGCGTATCTGGGGAACAGCACGTGCAAAGGCCCTGGGGTCTGTATGAGACGCAGTGAGGAGACCCGTGGGGCTGGCGCCGAGTGCCCTAGGCCAAGAGCCTAGAAAATGAGGCCAGGGCGAGGGGAAGATTATGAACAGAGGGATGCCCATGGGGCTGTAGGGCGGCACTATTTGCTAGCCTTATTTGTGTACGTAAATTTTATCCTCTCAACATAATCTTCCTTTTTTATAAAACGGGGCTCAGCATGGCTACCACCAGGACCAGGACAGGCTCTAAGAATAGCTGACATTTCTGGAAGGCGCGCTGTGTGCTGGGCACTGTGTACTTTTAGTCATGACCTCATCAAGTTCTCCCCGCACACCTCTAAGGTTCGTTCTATTTTTACCTCCCTCTTCCTGACGAGTCCCTGAAGTCAGAGAGGGAAGGCCACCTGTCCCCGGACACACAGCTGATGCGAGGCCCAGGGCATCCGAGCCTTCCGGGACCCGTTCCCTGGGTCCCCATCCTCCAGCCGGGAGTCCCCGGGGGCTTCTCTGCTCAGACCTCCGTTTCCTGGCTGCCCCCCAGAAACCTCACAGCACATGGCTGGTGTACACGTGACCTTGTTCTGCTCTTTCCAGGGATACGGCCAACACGGTGAAGGAGAAATTCGGAAGGAAGCTTTATGAATCCTTGCTGGTGTGAGTGTCCCTCCCTCAGCCCTGGGTGGCCCTGGGTCCTAACCCCTCTCTCTTCACCCCCTCCTCAGATGCATTCCCCTGTCCACCCTGCAGGGGGAGCCTCCCAGACATGAACAAGATGCTGGACAAGGAGGACTTCACGATGATGAAGAGAGCCATCTTTGCCACGCAGGTATTCGGACCCCTGAGCAGAGGAATGGCAGTCCTTAGTTCTGACCCCAGAGATTGCTGGCAGTTCTGAGGTTCCTAAAAGGGTGTGAGCTGACTGGTGGGACTTCAATTCCCAGAAGCCCTTCAGGCAGCCCGCTTTCCCATGACGTCTTCTGCCACATGGGGCTGTTGGGAGTTGTAGTTTCTTTGCATCCCCACGGTCAATGGACAGTAGGTGAAGGGGAACTTAAGTCAAGAGAGCTACAGACCTAACCGGTTTGGCTCAGTGGATAGAGCGTCGGCCTGTGGACTGAAGGGTCCCAGGTTCTATTCCGGCCAAGGGCATGTACCTTGGTTGTGGGTGCATCCCCAGTGGGGGGCGTGCAGGAGGCAGCTGATCAATGTTTCTAACGCTCTATCCTTCTCCCTTCCTCTCTATAAAAATTCAATAAAATATATATAAAAATAGAGCTACAAAAGGAGAATCGCAACTCCCACATGTCCTAAAGCCTTGCTGCCTACCAGCTCCACCTCCGTCCCCAGAGGCTGCTAGGATCGGTAGTTTTGTTGGGCCTCTCTAGGGATAGTCAGGAGGTCAGCTAAAACACCTATAATTCTCTGAATATTGAAAACGCAGCAGTTGCCGTTTCAGAAAACTGTCAGACACCAAATGGAAACTACCATTCCCAGCAGCCCGTGGGGTCTTTCTGCTACATTGATGCTTCCCTTGCCCCA